CTCTTGCCTGCGTTTTCAAGTAAATGAGAGAGGTGAACAATGCATTTCACATATGATAGTAGGAGGGAAAGTATAATGGTGTGACAGGGTAAACCCTTTCAAAAGAACTTAGAAGAAAAATGACAACAAATGAACTAGACTCAAAGAACAAGCAAGAAGAGAAGATGCAAAGTATGGAAAGAGACTGGGTGGGGGAAAAACATTCCCCTTTATATTTGTTTTTCAAGGATATAATTTAATATTGATGACATATTTATGAATTTAACTCATATAAGGAAAGCTAGAGGTCTATGTGGTAATAGTATAGGCTTTTGATCAAATTTGACTCTCATGTGCGTAAATAAAGAGGGGATAAAAATGAAACTTTGTCTCAGGTTTTTTGGTCCTTTGCTCCTTCTCATACTGAGGCTTTAAATATGACAAAGTCAAGCACCGTTTATGCCATTAGCCCTCTCACTACACATAGGACAGCAAAAGTAGTCAATTAAAGACCAATAAGGTAAGAAAAGAGCATGACTAAACAACTTTTTTATTGCTCCTCTCCAGACACATAATACATAGATCCATCTAAGAAAACTAAAGATGTCTGCAGCAGAACCTGGCATCAGAGAGAAAAATACACTTTTAGAGATTGTTTTACCTATTTTAAATTTTATAGTTCAGGGAGAGAAAACTTAATTGACCAGATTTTAACCAACTGCCGAAGGGAACCCATCTCCAGCATAAAAGTTTCCTAAACACAAGTTTATCTATCTGACCACTAGCTGCCTCCCCTAAAGGGTACATGCTTCTTGTAAGTCCTGTTCATCAGCACTGTAGCACCGCCTCAGATATCCTAAGACATCTTAAATAGCACTGTATTTAGGTGACCGAATCAAATACTACTTGTTCACTAACATTTACTCAGGTGAGTTGAAGTAAATGTCTCCATTAAGTGAATCTGCACTCATTTCATCACTCATGTTAGGATGCTGCCTTTTAGCTTTCATACCATCAGCAGAATATTGCTGGCTAATGAGGCTCAAAGTGTCTGGGATAAGAGTTTTAACCAGTGAATTGTTTTTTGAGTGAACTTAAGATGACTTAGACCACCAGGTGTTGCATCTCCAAGAGAACCTTGAAGGTTAAATATTAAAACTAATAAAACCGAAAATATTTACTAACATTAATAAAAAGTACTGTATATAACATTTTCCTAGAGAAATCTAATTTTCAGCATAATGTTGTTAAAAGTTAAATATTCCATCTCAGAGAAAATGTAACAACTCCATGTTATTTTAAATGTTAAATCCTAGAAAAAACATGTGAATAACAGATGATTGTCCTGGAATATTGTACTAACTGTCCTCCTCTGCAATCCAGGTGTTGCCAGTATAATTAATAGCAGATCTATGCGTTCAGAATTTGGACAGTTTAGGAGATATTTAACTTCTTGACAGACAGCTGAGAAACTCTTTCATAAAATAAGCAACACCCAAAGGCAACGCACTGTAAAAATAATTAAGGCTAAACTGAATTAGCAAAACAAACAGTTAAGGTCTAGGAAAAAAAAAAAAAAGTTGTTATTTTGAAGATAAAGATGTGGAATTTAATAGCAAAATTAGACTGGATTATAGAACTGGAGGTTGGACCAGATCAGCCCCAGAGGTCTCTTCAGCCTCAACCATTCTCTGATTCAGAGCCAACCTTCTATCTGAAATAAGTTGAAAAGATCATTACAGGAAAATCTTTCAAGTTTATACTGTCACACAACACAGAGCAGCATCATGTTCTTAATTTGTACTTGATGAAGACAGTTGATGAAGAGAAAAAGCAGTGGTCTCCTCACTCTCTGTTGGTTGCAAAAGAGACTAATGTTTCTGCTGGAATGCAAGTGGAATGTCTGTTTTGGGAACAAACTCGTAGCTCAAACCAGAAATCTTCAGACTGCAAATTTATATAATGTACACCAGAAATTCACTTTTGTTTCCGTTCCTTCTGCCATACAGTAGTAAATATCTCAGCTTGATTTTATCCTTTTTCAACATCATCCTATATTTTTTGCCAGCAACAGATTCTGTTTTTCCCTGTATTAATAAAGGCTTCATAAACAAGCTCTAGTGATCTGTGTTCCATGATCCCCAAGAAAAATTAGTTACTCTAATTATGGCAAAGTCTGTCTAATATTTAGTGATGTCAATGTTACAGTAAGAGTGTTTGTAGATAGAAAAAAAAAAAAGAAAGAAAAAAGCAGACAGGGGAAGCATCGATGATTTCCTTTCTTGCATTAACTACATCGAAGTAATGGAATTGTTCTGGGAAATCAATTTGTAACACTAAAACTAAACATGCAAATCACAACTCAAAATACCTCTTTCTGCCTGAACTGTAGGATAGATGAATGAGTTTATAGCAAGTCCTATACTGTATATTTGTTTTCCATAAGTGAGACATTCATAAATAGACAACTAGTTCAAAAGATTTTAATGTAATGATGTTAGTGGCCATTGTGTTTTTAATATGGATTTTTCTTGTCTCAAGCATTCTCAATGGAAATGTTTTGTGTATGATAAACACATGGTTGTACTGAAGGCAAGGATTTAAGAATGTGAAACTATGAAGAATTACCACCAGGTTAGCAAGAACATGAACTTACATTGACTGTTCTGTGATAATTGCCCAGATACCACTTGGTATTCCAGTATACAGAAAAGTAGTCACCTTCTTCATTGAGTAGTAAGATACCTTGGTTTTATCACGTAGCCAAACTAGGCATGCAAGCACTTAGCTGAAATATCCAATGTAAAGTGGATTCACACCTTCATTTAGCTCCTTGCTCCTGTTCATGAGGTATGGTACAGTACAGTAAAATTTTCTCTTGTAGGTGACAGACAAATTATGTGTTTGCACCTGTCTGTTTACCCAGAGTGTGTTAGTCTGTGGCTGTGAGTACTACATATTTATATTTATGAATGAGTATACGTTTTATATTTCTACACATTTTAGAGATGCTTTATTTAAGATTATGGTTCCAACATTTCCATTTCAATCTCCTGTTTTTAAGAGCTTATAAATTAATGATAGAAAGTTTTCCTAGGCTAAAACCTAGTAGCGTCATCAGCCTAGGAAAGAGGTTTTTAAACAAATTTGTAAACAGAAATGCAGTGAATTCACTTGTCTTTTTAACAATCTGAAAGTATACAATTAATATATCATTGGGTTACGATTTCTGTGGATGATATTCTCCTAGAATTCAAAAGTGTTTCTTTTTAAAAAACATTAATTTTAGGACAACAATTTAAAATGCTTACCAATGACTTGCATTATTCCATTGTCTTATGCTAATGTAACTTCTGTCAGTTGGGAAAGTTTGTAGATGAAGTCCTACTAAAAATACAAGATGGGCTTGGAGACACAAAATTTAGTCTAGAGAACTGAGTCAGGGATATAAAGCCCAAAGCTTAAGTACTGTTCCTTGTATCATTTGTTATGATGACACCGGTAAGTCAGAAAGGCCTTCAAAAGATGCTTGAACACCTTGAGTGAAATCTGTGAGAGACTGTGCATCTATGTCTGTGTGAATCTGCCTAGGAGTCCTTAAGGTCTTTTTGCACACCTCCACCTAGGTAGGTCTCAAACAAGTATTGTGTCCTTGTACTTAAACATAGGGCGTATCATGCGGTGGTTTCTGATGTAATTCACCATTATGTTATAAAGCAAAAGCAGGCAGACTGAGGAGTGCCACCAGCTCTGATAATGGTCGTGCCCGTATTGTGAGCTGCTGGAACACAAGCCAGCTCTGGCCCAGGCATCAAATCTAATAGCATGCAACCTCCTCAGAGGTAAAGCACTTTAAGCTGGGAAGATTACACATGGAACCAAGGCCTCTAGTTCAAAGCTAATCACATTCAGCAAATGCAGAATATGACCAAGGCAAGCCCACATAGATAAAGCCAGTAATTTTTTTGAATATGAGTATATTCCTAAAGAGACCATGCTACCTAATGAACTAGAAAAGCACCAGGACACCAGCAGTGGAAGGACTCTGCCACAGGGATCCATACAAGATTTTTGCTTTCTGTGGCCTTTTTCTCTTTTTTTTAATTATGTGGTAAAAGCAATGGGAAATTATAGACATGAAAAACAATGGCTTCAAAATAAAAGTATTCAAAGTACTAAAACAAGCAAGCAGAAAAACAACAGCAGAGAGTGAGGCAAAGTAGTAAATCGAAGGACTGGAGAACAGAAACAGAAGATGATGATCTTATTACACAGTAGTACCTTACTATATGCTGACGGAGAACTGGAAAAGAACAAAAAAAAAAGAATAAAACTAGCTACTACTGTCCAAGAGAGCTTTATTGTCTCTATACCTCCTTCTCCCAGTCATATACATTCAATTCTGATTGTATGCGGCCATAGTATGGTTTCATGCTAGAAGACTTGTTGTATTCAATGGTCTATTGAGGTCTGTACAGAAATGGTGCATGTTTAATATATCAGAAGGAAGTTGCTTAGAGATCACATAGTTTATGCCTCATCTTACCAAAGCATACAAGACAAGAGTTGTTAAGACAGTTGTGGCTGTGAATATAAATGCCCCAGAAGTGAAATCCTGACCTTATTGTGGTCAAAACAACATCATTCCTGTGAATCTCAACGGGTCTAGACTTCATCCAGAATTTGTGTATGGACATAAAAGTGATTCAAACCCCACATATTTTTATAAGCAGGAAAGACTTAGCTGCACAACCATATCGCCAGTCATGCTCAGAACATAACTTATGCAAAACTCCTCTGCTCCTAAGATTGTTCTTTAAAAAATACTTGTATTTTAAGAGTTAATTATTCATATTGGTTGTCAGAACCATTGTTCCCAGTGGCAGGTCCTGTCAACGTGTCTAAAGAATACAGAACGCTAAACACAGGAAAGTCTTCGTGCATCTTCTGTGCACATATGTGCCTAAGAATGGAAGAGAAGGTAAACGTAGAACCAACATACTACTTGGTCTTTACCATACCTGAGGGTAGCTATCAGTCCTTGGAAGAACAGATATATCATAGGTGGCAGCAAAATGGCTCTTAGCTTGCTGGATCTGACCATAACGTTCTCTTTTCCTCCATTTTGCTCTTCGATTTTGGAACCAAACCTATAGTAAATGAAGAAACAATCATGAAGGTAAACTCAATTACCTACTCTGCAAAGAGTCTTACGAAAAAGCCAAGAGATTTTGGACAGCAGTTTTGAAAATGTCTGTTTATCTAAGAAAGGGAAGTTCTCCATCTGAGGATTAATTTCTTTCAGTTTCAGTCTTCTCAATGTCAGACCTGCTTAAGTTATTTCTGGCTATTTTAAAAATATATGCTATTCCCTGTCTAGTGTCTGAAAAGAAAAAAAGAAAAAAAAAAGCAGAGGAAAGATCAGTCTGTCAGGTAGTGCTAACTTTGACAGAGTTCAGCTCTGTAAAGGAAAATCGCCAAGTAACAGCAAGTCACACTGTAAAGAAACTTTCTCTAAATTTCACACGCTCACTGATTTGATATGACCACCTCTCATCTGCCTTCTAGGAGTATACATAACCTTTAACAAGTGCAGTAATGAAGAGGCAGGAAAAGCTGGTATCAGGACAGTAGTCTGTGCCACAGAAAAAGTTTCCATAAGAAAGGCTAACAGGGTAGGAAGATAATAAAAAATCATGATATTGCAGATCATTGTAATACTGTTGCTACATTTTTCTCACATTTGTGTTAGGAAATATCTATGTTTCTGACAATGGAAAACTAAAGAATGGCACTTTACCTTTAGACTACAAAATAACTTAGACCTGAAACAATATCTTTTTGTCAACTAAAGCTATTTGCTTTATGCTTAAATAACCTTTGGACTGTTCTGTACTATTTTGAATGTCAGATGTTATCTTAAAAACTATTATATGCATATTTCTTGCATGACTGATATCTGTCATTGTCCTGTGGTCTTAAAGAAAATGTTTTTCTTTCAAGCAGTTTAGTTTGGACTGGCTAACAATTATCCTGGCGAACTAAAGGGATTGCTAAAACAAGTTAACTGTTCCTTTATGAACATAATATTATTCAACTGACTTTATTGTTCAGCTATGAGCAAACTCATTCTAGCTCTTTTTAAAGAAGTTGCACTACTAACAGAACCATTACATTTTTAAGGAAACAATGCCATTGGCTAGTCTTCTGGCTAAATGGATTGTGAATCCATTTGGATAGATACATACATGAATAGATTTTTTTTATATAGACACTGAGTGTGAATTCCATTTTAAAGGATATTTTCTGATCCCTGACAGTGCGATATTTAAAATAACACTGTTTGGTTTATAATCCAATTTTGGCCTTGATCTTTGGAGAACTCAACTGTCTTTTGATGCTGCTTAAGCAATCAGGGCATAATTTTGCTCATTTTAATTCCCAAGGACTTGTTGCAAATTTAGTATGTGCAATCTTTTAAAGTGTGCTTGGCAATCAAAGCAAGGCCCATGCATGTAACTGCTGATTCTATATTTTTAGGGACCTTGTTGGTAAATTTGTATTATTTATGATGCCCGAGGCTCAGTAAAAAGAAAAGAAAAAGAAAAAAAAATTATCCTGTCTCCACAGGAGGCATCAAGGACACGCTAAGGGAATTTAGTAATGAGGCTCTTTCATTGAAAAAAGGCCTTGACAATCTCCTTAAAATGGGTGCCAATTACTTCACTGACATGCAGCAGGAAAGAGAACAACTTAGATAAATTAGGTTCAGGTTGGCGCTCTCTGCATGTATGCAGGACAAATATTAAATTGGATCTTGATGAAATGGTGGTGAAGGGAAATGTGGGTAAGGTATCCAGCTGATCACTCTCCTAAACTAAATCAATTAATTTGCTTGAATTTATAGTAACTAAATGAGAAAAAAAGCACACTTTTTTTTCTTTGACAATCCCCTAAAATGTTTCTGTTTACATCACTTTACTAGAAACTGACTCTTGGCAGAGATAAAGTAACCATTTGCCTCCACAAAGCAATGTAAAAATCTGCTGCTTGTTATCCTTGAATTGCCAGATGCTTGCCGCTAATGATGTAAGGCCTTTTAGATTGCTTAATCTTGTGATGGAATACTGTTGCTACTCTGGATAAAAATGATCACCATTTCCTTTCATATTTAGCATATGAGAAATTCAAAGATTGGTTGTCTTTTAAGAAAGGGGAGAATGTGTTTAAATAAAATAGAAATAGATATTCTGTGAAAGACTGGTGCAGACCTATATGTTTTCAGATTTATCCTCTTATTTCTAATACTTTTACCATATGAAGCTTCTGAAGCTCAGAAAAAAATGTAGTAAAAAAGCCAATTGACATATTTTAGCCCCTTTCTCCCCTCCCTGTTCTGACTATTAATTTATTCTTGGAGTTGTTCTCATAATACCAGATTTATGCAATTGTAAGAACAGTGTTTAAACATTATGCAAGCATTTCTTTTTAAGTCAAGAATAATTCCTAATGAACAGAAGTCCTACTTGGAAAATTGTCTCAAATTCAGAGGGAGAGGGATTGCATAGAGCCTGAAGAGTTAAAAACCGCTGAACTAAATTCCATCAGCATCACTGATATCGTATCGATGTAACTGACACAAAATTTTGGACTCTCTTTTCCGATGACAACAGTGAATATACTGTCTGGTTGAATAGACATGAAAAGAATGCTTCTTTATAAAATTAATTAGCTGAGTTTGTTTCTGAAAGTGATCCTGGTTTAATTTCAGTTGTATGCATGTGCATTGACGTCTATTTCTTTATATGTACGTCTGAGTATGTGTTTAATTACAAGTTGTGAAGTTGTTATCATATTCAAGTCACTAAATTAAAAAAATTAATCCCAGTCTGTAAGAATCAACAGGACTGCTGTTCCCTAATTTGAAATGATGAGTATTACCAGAATGGGGTAGAGCTCTAAAAACAGGATAAACTCACAAAATGCAGTTTACACCCTTTTCTAAGGGAAGATGTCTGAGTGGGGGAAAGGCTGTATTTCCTGGATGTTTCGCTTCTTTTCTCACCATTACACATCCAAAGCCATAAATATTGTTGAGATTACTGTACGAGCACATACTGAATGAATCAACTTCGTACGCAGTTAAGATACTCAAATACTGCACTAAGTGGACAACAGTATGTTTCTTTCGAAAAATTAGAATAACATTATCCATCGGTTGTGCAAGTTTAAAAGTCCACAAGTGTACTTCCCAATTTTGTGATTTTTAAACTCATTCTGTACATGAGACATGAAAGGATTATGTTCTTGCTCTACAGACACAAACACACACACATATACATATTTATACACATCTATGTATGTGCAGTTTCACTGCATACTCTTTGGATCTAAACAAGGCATTTGATTACTTTTTAGATTGTACTTTTCATGTCGTAACACACAGAGAATCCTCTGTGGCTGAGTTCTGCATTATCATCAGTCTGAACTACATGTAACATATCTCTCTAAAGGGTCTTCACACGTAACACTTTATATATTCACTGCCTGGAATTTTGACAGTAAAACAGGACTATGAGAGATCAAGACTGTATTGCTATTGATGTTGTTTTCTCATCCTTTAAACAAGTTTCTAGAACAGCAACACAAGCTATTTTAGTATTGCATCATAACAGCTCATATCTATAAAGAAATAAAGCAAAATGAGCTATTTACTTTCACTTTATGGGCTTTTGTAGAATCCCCAAGAGTGCCATTTACCAGTTCCTACAACACACAACTTGTCATGAAAATGCTGAAGTTTGGTTCCTACCTGGACTCTGGCCTCAGTGAGCTCTGTTCTCAGAGCTAGCTGTTCTCTTACATAAACATCAGGGTAGTGAGTTTTCTGGAATACTTTCTCCAGTTCCTCCAGCTGTAAACTGGTGAAAGTTGTTCTGTGTCTCCTCTTCTTGCTGCTGGAGACATTGCTGTCACACTTATCACCAAGTTCGTCCAGTTCCCCCTTCTCCTGCATCCCTTTCGCTGGAGACATCCTGAGATTGTTGCAATTGTCCATGGGCCTGTTCAGCTCTGTGTGAAGAGGCTGTCCTTCCACTTTAGTAATCCCATAGTTCACTGTACACAAGGTGGGGGAGAGAAATAACTGGTTAAAAGGGGGGACTTTGGAGTCAAGAGCTCATATAAAACAATGCCACAAGGAACCAGATTCTATATGGCTGTGTATTTCTATATGAGGTCGTGGAAGGGGAATCTGTAATATTAACCACAAACAGAATAGAAGTACTAAATCACACTGAAGTTTAACTGAAAATTGTATCTGAAGGTATAATCTAAAATCTTTCCATATAAGAAAGCTGCCTGAGAATACTTGAATATTTTATTCTGCCACTAAAGTGGTTAATAATCCATGAAATCAGCTTCAGCTAGAGTTGCACAGATAAGGAATCTCAGCCCAAAACAGATTTTCGTATAAGAAAAGTGACATAAAGCTATTGATGAATGTGCCTTTAAACTTGGCAGCAGATAAATAAACTCTATTCATATGAAAATACAAAATATCTATAAACTAGATACCTGTAAACTGACAAATCAAGAAGCAAATGAAACCAAAAATTACCTTCACTTTGTAAACTCGATGGATACCATTTACGCTCTCTTGGATTTGTAAAGTGGAATTGTTTCCAATTAAGTTTGTTATGGTTACAAAATACAGAGAGTTTCTGCAAAATGTTAACTTATTAGAAGAGATCGTTCCATATACTTTGTATAAGGATTGCAGGAACTATTTGTCTTCAGTTAAAATCTGAGTGGCAGAGATAAGAAATATTCCTCTGTAGCTCCTTAATAAGAAATGAAAACATTTCCCTTTTTTTTCTATTCTTACACATCTCACGTCACTGAAAAAGTCATGCGATATGTTACAAGATTCGAAAGGGTTTGGTTTGGTTTGGTTTGGTTTGGTTTAGTTTTTTCCTCCCAGAAATTGGAAAAAAAAAAAAGTTTAAAACTATTGAAATTAAAATTTCCGAAGACAGCATGTAACATACGGTAAGATGCTTGCCTTGGGACTTTCTCACATTCTCAGTAATTTATTTTCGTTCAGTCGGAGCTGATTTTAACCAAACACAATTTTTAGATACTTACCATCAATACATACACAGATAGGAAATGCCCCAAAGCCCCCAAGGCACGCATTAAATTAGTTAATTAAGAAAAACTTCAATGTATAAATCAATTTTCTGCAGTTTTTTTTTTTTTTAAGTTGCACTTGCAGAAGTCTGTCGTTATTCCTGACGAACTGTTTCATACAACAAGGACGTTTTCAAAAAAATATTTTAATGCCTATATGAAATCGAAAAATGTAAAATATTGTTACTCTGATTATTGCAGCTGATCTTAGCCACATTTTCCGATTGTGCTAGGAAAAGACTTTAAAAATTATTTTTTCTGTACATGATTTACATCATGTTGGAATAATGGGGAAAATTCTGAACGTTTCAGAAATTCCACATTCTCCTTGCCGATCAGCTAGGAAAAAAAAAGAAATAAATATGTAACACTTTTGTTTGCATTGCCTAAGTCGTTTTCGGCCAGTGTGAAGACTCAGTATTATGCGTTATTCAGTAACACAGCAGAAAACAAAAATTAAAAAATAAAATAAAATAAAATAAAAACACCACCAAAACTATTGTCCTCCCAGAGCGTTATCTGAAGGAACCAAACGCGACCTTCCGTTTCCATCCCGTACCGGTACCTCG